GGTGGTCATTTAATTTTCACAACTCTATATATACACAATTATATGAATATTTATATTTGTGTGTGTGTATGTGTGCCCAACCCTTAGGAAATGCCCAGTAAGTGGCAGCTATTACTATTATACAACACACCACGTCTTAAGTATAACAGGCTTTCCATATCTTTCGCTCCCTCCCTCGTCACAGAACTCCTGCTCTGTATGCAGGAGCACTGTGCCACCTAGTGGCCAAGTCAGAGAATTGCTTCTTCCCCACATACTACCACACTCACCCAAAGGGAAAATAACCACAAATCCTTATTTGCTTGGGACAGTCCAGATTTGGGCTATTGTCCCTACATATATTAATAACAACTCCTTTCACTCTCAAAAGTTTCTGGGTTTGGACTTCCTCATGTTCTCCAATCTGCTAGGAAAGCAGTGAAACTCCAATGGCTTGTAGGCAAAATAAGCCATTAAAAAACTACAAAACTCACTGCCATAGAGTCTAGTCTGACTCATTTACCCCTTAGTGGGTAAATCTTTACAGAAATAGATTCCTCAGTCTTCCTTCCGAGGAGTGGCTGGTGGGTTTGAATGGTCAACCTCTGTCTTAGGCACTACGCCAGCAGAGCTCCTTAAAATAAGCCATTAGGACTGGGTGGTTGCCCAGGATGGTTCCTGCAGCTCACCCTCATCTGATTGCCTCATGGTTCAGTGCCTTACCCTGCTGCCCCACCTGCACTAGAAGTCTCCATAAGCTCTTCTCCATAGAAGCCTTTCTCCATAGCTGCCAAATCTGTCATGAAGTTCTGTGACCCCACCTCTCTCTTTTACTGCAGAATATTTGTGATGCAACAGATTCCCAATAGTAACCTCCTCCTCTTGGTGACAGACTCCACGTGTGATTGCAGCATCTTCCCACTTGTCCTGCAGGAGGCTACAGAAGTCAAATATATCCTTCTAATGCCCCAGAATGGCCGGGCTGAGGGAGGGCTGGGAGTATAGATGTCATTGAGGGATGTAGAGGGGCCTCAGCCCCCTTTCCAACAACATCTCCACGAAGCATCGCTATTTGTTTTCCAGCCCCTTCCCCTCGCCACTGGTGCTGCCTCTAGCACTAGCCCACCGGTTCTAGAGCTGGTCTCTCCAGAGTCTCCAGCAGTCAGCCCTGGTCATGAGCAATTGACCTTGACAGAGAGTTCTGCACATAATGCCTCTGTCAAGTGTGACAGGATGCGCTCCCAGAAGCTGCGCCAGCGACCAGATTCCTGCCATGCCTTCCACCCAGAGGTATGGGGTTGGGGGTGATAAGGGGGAGATTGATCTTCATCCCCAAATTCTCTGCCAATAGGGCATTGCTCAGCTGTGTGAATGCCTGTGTGCTTTCAGAGGTGAGCGTGTCTGTACATTGTGAATTCAAACGTATAAACACATCTCAGAGGGATCATGTTCATACACTGCATTCACATTTTGGCTCCCATGTCACTAAAACACTATTATATCAACCAGAATCCAAGGGTGACTTTACAGAAAGTCATATTTCCCAGGGTTTGGGCCCTTATTGAGTTAAAACAGCATTCCCATGCTTTCCTCATTCCTGCTCATTCACTTAGCTCCGAATGCTCTGAGCAAATGGGAGGAGGCCACTATATTCATAATACTGTGACCATTCATTGAGCACCACCAGGTCTTGGGTCCTGAACCAGTGCTTTATATACATTGTAGTCTTTGCTGGTTATGGTTGCCTTAGATAAGTCACTTCACAGATGCTCTCAGAGCTGATGTGACTTCACTGAAGTTATTCTAACAGGCTGACCCCATAGCCACTCTGAGACTGGGGGCAAGCAGAGAAGGCTTGAGCCCAGGCCTCAAGCTGAGTGTGCAGCCTCTACTTTGACCCTACATCTAACAAAGGTGGCAGCACTTCCTTTGCTTCCTGGAACTTTCCTCTTTTCCCATGCTTCCAGCCCCTATTAATCCCAGAGGCCCCTCCCTATCTCTTGCTCCTTCTGGCTTGGATGGTTGCTCCATCAATATGAATGCTGCCCTCTCATCTCTGTTCTTGGGTCCACAGGAGAATGCCCAGGACTGTGGTGGCACCTCGGACATCTCAGCCTCATTCCCCCTGCTCCTGCTGCCGCTGTGTGCCTGGGCACTCCCACCCCAGCTTCTGCGGTGACATCCACCCAGTCTGACCCTCTGCTTTGGCAAAGTGATCCTTCCAGATACATTCTCAAGAGTGAACAACTTACGTGGGATCCAGCTTGCTTCAGCTGGGTTATCACCTACCTTCCACAGCTCAGTGAACATCTGTCTTTGTCTAACAGTCCCTGCCTCATGAGATTGTTGGGTAGAACAAGAAGCCAAGTCCATTGTCCCAGAAACCACTTCCCAAAGATACTCCGGGGTACCTAGTACCAACCACTTCAAGTCTCAGTGGGCATCCTCCCTTCCTTCTCATCTCCTCTTTAGGAGCCCAACATGAGCTCAACTGAGACCAAGACTGAAGAATTTAGTTCCACCTATTATCCAGATGTTCAGACCAACCCAAAGGAAGAGTCAGCTCTTTCTAATGAACCAAGTTGGTCTTTAGGAGAATCCAAGGACCTACAGGTGCTAGGAAAGAAGAACAGAATGAAACCAACTGAAGAGATGACAGTAAAGCAAGAACATGTGCACTACCTAAAACATACCTTCCTCAAAGTGAGGTTCATGGTAGAAAGCAGCTCAGTTGGAACCAACAAAGGCAGAGAAGTAAGTATTAATGGGAAAGGCCCAGAATAGGAACAGACATTAAATCCTTTTAGGAAACATGCACATGAGCTGCATGTGAAGACCACAAACTATTACTATTAAAGAACTTCTAAAAACTTCTTTATAAAGCCCTAACTTAAAGGACATTTTGCATTCATTTAAGGAAAAGCCAATCTTAAGCTCAGAAGGGCTGAGATATACAATAATTATATTGAAAATTACATGAGTTCAAGGGAGATGGAGAGGGGCCAGGAAGAAGAGCAGTCCTTCACAATGGCATGGTGAGGGGGGGTTCTCCTGAGGTCTGGCTCCATGTTGGTCAAATACTCCCCAAGGGAGCCAGGTCCCATCATGGTATTTCTATAGCCACTCATCTACAAAAGAAACTAGTTGACTGTGTCCTCGAGTGAAGTCCCTGAGGCTGGAACTATTCAGGACATTTCAATTTGCAGAGCATACTGGAAAGGAACCTTTATTGGTGAACTGCCCAGTCTAGGGGATGCCTCACCAACCCCCTACACACACACACACACACACACACACACATCCTTCCCTGGGTCCTGATGATCTTGGGGCAGGGTGAAGACATCCTGGAGAAGCTTCCTTTTCCTTCCTCTTCCTGGTGCAAGAGCCCAGGTTCCTGGGAGGCAGTAGTCTTCAATGTGAGAGCAATGTATGAGGAGAACTATAGAAATTCTAGGGGGGCCTCGGATCCTTAAGTTTAACCAACCTCCAATACGGAGGCCCAGCAAAACCCCATAAAGGTGTGCAGAGGCTCAGGGGCCCTTCCTCCCGGTCCTCCACTACCCTCAGCCCTCCATACTTGAAAGTGCAAGCTGTACAAGTTTCTCACCAGCACATGGGCCCACTTCCCTCTATAGTAAGTCAACTCTACAGAGCCCATTCAGTATACTTGCAAAGTGCCTTACATTATAGATTATATGTTTTATTCACTAATTTAAGTCTCACAACAATCCTGTGAGGTAGATATAATGGCCCCATTTAGAGCTGAAGAAACAGCATCAGAGATCAGGAATTTGCTGAAGATCTCTCACTGCGCCAATGGCAGAATAATGCTAGTAATAGCTAGTGTTTACGGTACTAGGTAAATAATGTGTACTAACTCAACGAATCCTCACAACCACCCTCTGAAATAGGTACTCTTATTAGCCTCATATTATAGCTATCTTCCTTATTCATTGTCAAGCTTTTGCACGCATATGAGGCAAATGAGAATACTGTGGCTTGAGTCAGTTCACCTTAGTCCTCAAGTGACAGCTTTGCTGTTTAACACTTTAAAGAGGACTTTTACAGCAGATTTGCCCAGTGGAAGAAAAAAAATGGTGCATTTGAATTACAGTGTTAGCAAAGAATGCTGAATATACCATAGACTATACATGCCAGAAGAACGATCAAATCTGTCTTGGAAGAAGTACAGCCAGAATGCTCCTTAAAAGCAAGGATGGCCAGACTTTTTCTCATGTGCTTTAGACATATTATCAGGAGGGATCAGTCCCTGGAGAAGGACATCGTGCTCAGTACAGCAGAGGGTCAGTGAAAGAGAGGAAGCCCCTCAATGAGAGGGCCTGATGCAGTGGCTGCAAGAATGAGTTTAAACAGAGCAACGATCGTGATGATGGCCCAGGACCAGTATTTCATTCTGTTGTACACAGGGTTGCTATGAGTCAGAACCGGCTTGGTAGCACCTAACTATAGCATTATAGACAAGCAAACTGAAGGATGGAGAGTTTAAACTGGGCTCCAGATTTATTGGCAAGCACTCTAAGGTTCAAATGTGATTTTCATATAATGTGCTTAAAATGCTTGGCATATCGTAAGCACTGAATACTTGTTTATCATTCCTGTATTACCTTGTTTCATAGAAGCGGGAATGAAGAAATTCAAGTTTGGATTCCAGGGATAATAAACAAAAGTCCTAGGTGCCCACATGACCCAGATCTGTTAGAAAGCAGCAGGGAGCCTCTTCTCCTGCTCCCTGGGCTGCCATAGCTCCGAGCTTCCCCACATCAAGTCATGAAGCCCTTATTTTGACAGTTCAACAGGATGAGCATTTCCTAACTCTTGCTCCAGCCTCTCCCTGCTATGGCCCACAGCCACCCACATACCTTTGTCATTAATAAATGCTCCAGCCTGTAACAGTATTTGATCTCAACTATTGACTGCCAGCCACTGGCTACTAGCCTCTCTCTCTCTCTAGGACAATCCAGTGCTGTCTTTTGGAAGGGTCATCTTCCCCCCAAGCCAGGGATGGCATTTTCAGGGAACTCTTTGGCCATATAATTAACATGCCAAGCTTAGGAAGTGCATGTGCAGCTTGTGGCTTTGTTTCGTCTGCTTCATCAGGGCCCCACGTCTCTGCACAGCCAAGGGTAAGCTGTACGACCTGGAAATTCTGTTCAGAACCACTGGGAGGAAAAATCACTTCTCATAAACTAACACTGCTGTTCTCTACCTTGAAGAACACAATGTTTTCTCAAATTTTGCCTCCAGAGGCCAGCACTATTCATCCTCTTTCTGCTTTTAATAGGACATTAACAGACACCAGGTGGCAGCCTGGCTCAAGCAGAAGAGCCATCACCTTGATTTTTGAGGAGAAAAGTTGGAACCTAAGTTGTTTAATAAACTGGGGGCAGAATTTTGAAACCTTATTTATGTTTTACACCTTTGCAACAGCCAAGAGCTCAATGTTGCTGTCAGATCCTCTTTCCCCAGCACCAGGCATGTATTAGCTACTGAGTCTGTCTAGTAAATCTACATAACCAAAGAGCTTTCTGCTAAAGAGCTTCAATAACCACTTCAAAATCCCAAGTGAAGTTACGGTTCTGGGGAGGTAGAGGCAGGAAAGGAAGATGTATCTTAAGGTCCAAAACATAAATATGAAAGACGATCCATTACCCAGAACCCTAGTGACCTCAACAGAGAAGACTCAGCCAACAGTTTGGCAGGAAAGCCAGCCGATCACTATGGAAGTCTGAGAACAGTCGATTTGCTAAGAGTCACAGCAACTCAGTGAAGGATGCAAAGGATGTCTTACAGCCCCATTTATTTTTTCAAACAGGTGAGGAAATTAGGATAGGGAAATGACTTCTTGCTCATGTCACATGGCAAATGGCAGAATTGGAATCTGAACCCACTTTTAACTTCTAGGTTAACATAGCAAAGGCAGGGACAGGTTAGGTGAGCAATGATGAGCTGTCTCCAGGTATGTGTTGGTTAATTGACCTACTTCCCTGGTTTTCCCCATGCCCTGATGCATGCCATCCCATGACATCGTAAGCAGCAGTTACAAGAACCCTGAGTCAAACAGCTGAACATGGAAAAATTTGTTGACTAGATAGGACACAAGGGTGGTGAGCAACAGCTCATGCTCCCACCAAAGCTAGTATTTTAGATAAAAGGCTATTCCTTCTGGGATGGTCTTAAAGTAACTTTGCCCAGAGGACCCAGAGCCCGGAGTTCTGTAAAGTCCAAATTCACACTTGTCTTTATTTCCTCTACAATGTTTCCAGGACATCACCTGAGAAACAGGAAGCATATATATAGCTTTTAGCAAGATATGAGGAAAAAATAAAGTGGATTATTTGTACGCCTCAGCTTACTTTTTTGTCAAGAGCAGAATGCAACCCAGTGCTCCGTGCTCTGTATCAGGGCAACATGTGGGTAAACCCTAAAGTTATAGCTACAATTAAAAATGAGAACACGGATTGCACATATTATCCAAATACCGGCTATTCCCCTGCAAAAACTAAATTCACCTAAGGCAAAAGGGTTGGGTTTCCTCTCCTTTCTTAAATTACATAGACAGGATCAAGGTAACAAACCCAGAAACCTTTAGGTCAACATAACTCAGATTAACTGTTCAATCAGAATAAAAAGTAGAGAAAAAGCAGTTTTTTCCTTACTGTTGAGTACTGGCACCAGAGTCAAACTTCACCTTTCTCAGCTTCAATCCCCTCATCCATAAAATGAGGGTGAAAATAAGACTGACTAGCTCTCACAGAGACATTGTTTGATGTCAAGTCCTTTAACACAGTTCCTGGCACAAAGTGTTCATTATGTCAGGTATTATTTTTATGAGCTTTAATAAGCTGAAAACTGGCCTTTAGAGTTCTCTCTCTCTTCCACTTCCAACCTAGTTCCAATTTTGGTGAAAGCATGAGAGAGAGAGAGAGAGAGAGACAGTGAGAGTTGGGAGAAGTGAGTTGGGCTTAAGTATTTTGACTTGTGCATTCACAGGCTGGGAAGTTACAGAAAATTTCCTAGGCTTCACTGTTAAAATTAGGGCTTCAAGTAAGAAGTGCTGAAAGCTAAGGGCAGGTAAGCTGAGGCAGGAAAAAATACACAGAAGTTCATATTCCATTTGGTTCTTTTTATTAGAAGAAGTTGAGAATACAGCAAGTAGGG